TTCTTGGCTGTATAAGTGGGTCCTGCTTCATGGGGATTCAGCCTCCCCTTCGCTCAAGGGGCTCTATGTCTGTGAACTGGCTCAATTCTGAGAATTGAATGAGCAGCAATGACACAATGTTGGTGATTCAAATCAATTGTGTCCATGAGAAGTGGGGCAGTTCTGCTTATCTACACAAATAAGACTTAAGTGGCTGGCCATCAATTTCAGCGCTAGGGAGCTCTAGTGATCAAGCAAATCAACATCCTGGGTTTCTGGGAGCCATATTATTCTAACTATTGCTTTTACTCTGCAGTCTATGTTGATAACTGGTCTTTGGAGAGGAAAGGTCAAGTGCTACCATTCGGCCCCTGCCAGCTTGGCGTCTATTCATCCTGTCTGCATTTAGGGAGTCCAGTTTAATGGTAGCAATTCCCACTGTAATTTCTGACCCACATACAGGGGCAACCCAGTTCTCTTCAAGGATGCTGGGCTCCCCTCATGAATTTATTTCTTATAGTTCTGGTGAATGTTATGTCCTCGGGACCATGCTGGGTTGGATAAGCGTGTCGTATATGATAAATATACTCAAGCGTTCTAATTTCCCTAATTCTTTGCACACCTTTCTGGATGGTAACCCAAGAAAGTTCTGATATTTCACTTCATTCATTATAGGATGCATTTGAGTCCATATATCAGTCAATGAACCAAGCGATTGTTTAGAGCTAGTCCTAGCACTTTGAACTAAAATGTTACATTCATGTTTGCTGCTTGTTGGTCTCATATCAATACATTCGGCCTAATTGGATTTGTATTATTTCCACATTGATGACATGGCCTTGATATCCATTCCCACATATATTCCTCGTGTTTCTGTTAATATAGATTAGCAAAATCACACAATTACTCTGTTTTTTGTTGTACCTGCTCATGGGTCACACTTTGTAAGCCACCCTTTGGGGCCTGCTGGGACCCGAGTCTGGTTGTGGGTCTAGAGGCCAGGAAAGGCGTTAGGGGAGCTCCTGCGGAGGGTCAGGGGTGCGCTGTAAGGCAACTACCTCAGGGGAGGCCATTGTAGCCCTTTCAGACAATGGGAGACTCAGCTCCTCAGGCAGCGGTGGAAGGGCTGCCTCCACTGGCAGAGAAGGCTGGACAGAGTTTAGCAGTTGGAGGCAACCTGTTTCATCAGGACCTGCCTCTGTGTCACCATCCTAATTTTTAGAATCCCTTTTCTCCCCAATCAATGTCAGAATTTTAACAAAAGAGCCCCTGGGAATTTGAGAATTCAGTTTGCGCTGTAAGTCCACCAGCTACAGAACTAGGCTTGGGGTTTGGCTCTCAGAAGCTCAGTCCTGTGGCTCAAGAGATAAGGGCTCTTTCAAGGCATTCGTTGAAGCTTTCAGTCCCTTACATGGACCTTGAGCTGGAATTAAAGCCTCTAGGGTCATCAGTTTCTTTCCCCAGGTTCTCCAGAGCAGTTAGAAGAAACTAACCAGCCCATTACACTCCCCATTTTTACTAAAACGTTGTATGGCAGCAAGTACTTGGTCACCCAGAGGTTTTCTCCTGTAGGCACTTGATTCCAGGCACCAACAGAGAACAGTGTGACTAAATGTTTTTCCACTGTAGCCCATGGCTGCCAGGTCCCTCTCTACACGGAAAACAGGGTCGTTAATGCCTTCAAATATAATTACATTTGATACCCAACCCAGGAATCCCAGAACCTATTCATATAGTCGGAGAACTCATCTTCAGATTCATATTCTCTGGGACCCAGCTCTTTTATCATTATATGGTGTCTTTATTTCTTAAAGTACGACATGCCATGACTTTTACATTGTCCTATATTTATATAGCCATGACAGCTTTCTTATGCAGATTATTTCCATAGTATATCTTTTCCCAGTCTTTTTCCCTCCAATCTTCCTGTGTCTTTATACTTAAAATGTGTCTCCAAAGGCAGCATATAGTTGAACTTTGCTTTTCTATGCCATCTGATAGTTCGTTTTTATTAACTGGCAAGTTTAATCCATTTACATCTGATGTAATTGTTTTACGTATTTGAGTTGAATTCTGTTATCTTGATGTTTGTTTCTCATTTGTTCCATCTGTTTTTGTTTCTCTGTTGCTCTTTTCTTGTCTTACTTTTTGCTAAAATACTTTGTTTTTATTTTTTTCTTCTACTGCCTTCTTAATCGTGGAGAGATGTAACATGTCTATGGCTTAGTAGACTCAGAATTATTAAGATGTCCACTCCTTGAATGTTATCAGGAAAATATAGCAATCTTAAATATGTATACAGTTATTTGTGGAGCATCTAAATTCATAAACCATGAGTGACTAAACCAAAAAGAGAAATGAGCAAATGTACTGTTCTGATCAGATATTTCACTACCTGTCTCCATAATTGTTTTATACATTCAGTTTTACACCAATAAAAAAACCACAGGGCTTTTTTTTCTAGCAATTGACAAGGTGAATCTAAAAGTTGTATGAAAAATACAGACGTAGAACTGACAAAACAACTTTGGAAATGACAACAAAGAGAAAGACTTACGCAACCTGCTTTAATACTTACTATGTAAAGTTTCAGTTAAGATAATAAGGCCTAAATATACAAATAGAGATCAACAGAACAGAACAGAGTGCAGAAATAGATCCACACACAATGTGGTTGATTCGTTTTTGATTAAGAACACGCATTGTTCACTGGAGAAAGAATTGTCATTTCAAGATAGGCTGCTGGAATTGCTGAGTATCTGTATACTAGTACCACTAATAAATGTCAGACCCGTCTTCCCAACATATTTCAAATTAATATCACATGAATCATAAGACTAAACATTAGAAGTAAAATGAGAAAATTCTAGAAAGAACATGGAAGAAATTAGTTGTAACATCATATTAGGCAAACGTTTCTTAGAAACAAAGGCACTAACCACAAAAAAATCATAAGTTGGACTTCACTAAAATTAGAACTTTCTACTCTTCAGAAAACACACACAAGAAATTGAAAAGTCCAATATTCATAACATATATTTAGAAAGGATTTGTACCCAGTCAGTTAAATTTTAAGAAAAGTTAAAACTCAATTAAAAATGGGTAAAAATATTAACAGACAGTTCACCAAAGTGGATACATTAATGGCCAATCACAACATGAACAGATTCTCAACATCACCATTCATTAAATTAAAAACACGAGCTATGACTACACAACATCTAAATGGTTAAAATAAAAATAAAGGACAATAGCAAGTGCTGAGGGGGATTTGCAGCAATTGGAACCCTCATAGATTGCTGGTGGGAGTACAAAATGGTGCGATTATTTAGAAGATGGCGTGAAGTTCCTTGTAGATTTAAATGTACACTTGCTGTGTGGTCCAGCAATTCTATTCCTAGATATTGACCTAAAATAAATGAAAACGTGTCTGTGCCAATAATCATAGCAATACTACTAATAACAGCCCCAAAGTGAACACAAGTCCAAATGTCTATCAACAGGCACGTGAATAAAGTAGTTGTGGTGTCTTCATACAATGGATTACTATTTAGCAATAACAGGAATGAATTGCTAATATACTCAAATATGGGTGAAACTCAGACATTGATCTGAGTGAAAGAAGCTGGACACCGGAGAGCACGTACTGTGTGATTCATTTCACATGTGATTTCTAGACCAGCGACGCTCATCTGCAGCCATAGAAGGGAGATCAGCAGTTTCCTAGCAATGGAGAGGGGAGATGATGTGGGGAGAGATGGATAGTACTTCCGTGTAAAGGGCACCAGGAAAACTGATGGGGCGTTGGAAATATCTACACCTTGTCCGCGGTTGTGGTGACATGGGTGGATACATTGATCACAAGTCATCAGCCTGACACTTTAAAAGTGTGAACTTTGCAAACATAAATTTCATGTCAGTAAAACAGTGGATGTTTAATGACCAGACGTCTTTCATCAGAAAAATCTTTTTCAAAGCCTGAGCTGAGTTCTGTTCTAAAGCTTTAAGAAGAAAGGAAATTTATCAATGATTAAACAGAATATAACATCGAAATCTCCACTTTCCAAAGATTCTTCCTTCATATTTTTTCTTTAATTTCTTTCCAACAGTTTGCATTCAGAAACAAAACCCAAACCCCTTAGCAGGCTCTCCTTTGGGTGTCCATACACTGCCTTCCATATCTCCATGAGGAAGACTCCTGGTACCCTCCTCCCTCACGTTTCCAATTCAGAATTATTAGCTAAACCTGAAACATTCCAGCATGTAATATACAATTCTGTATTTAAATTATTTGACACAAACCAACAGACTGGAAGGAATAAAGAGATAATTTGAAAGAGTTTTAATGACAGTCAACACAGAAATCATAAATAAATGGATCTAACAAAAATGAAAAGGCAATTTGTAATAATTAATAAAAATAAATAATATGGCTTTCATATTCTGGACAAAGTTTTAAGGATAGGCACTATTTCTGTTTCAAGAAATAGTCAAATGTCATCAGGAAATTCGAAGGGAATAAACTTACTGTAGCATAAACATAATTGCTATTTAAATTTTCTTTATTTCCATGTCTTGCACTATGGGGATTCAATCTGAAGGGCTTTGGGTACTGGGAATTATTGAGCTACTTTCCTGAGGGGACAGTGTTTTGGGCATTATCCTCACTCTGACAAATTAGGAAAACAATGCTAATAAAATGTGGCATTTGTACATGCATTACAGAAAACCTCTTGGAAGACCAACACTGCTCAGATACGAAGAAGGAGGTAATGCAAAGGAAGATTTCTTTTTAACTTAAATAAATATCATTTTATGTAATGATGCAAATTAACTGCTTATTCATTTGGAAGTGAATTATTTCGTGAGATGAGGATATGAATCACTTTCTAAACAAGAAAATAAGGATTTGCACTTACAAAGAAATAGGGACAGAACGTATTGGCAACTAGTGACAAATTGTATATATCTTTTTCTTTTAAGGACTTTGAAAGCCTAAATGACAGCCTTGGCCCTGGAAGATGACAGCTTCTCCAGGTTTCAGAACAGAGACTCCCGAGCAGGGAGTGGCCTCTCCTGCGGCTGCGCAGCTCTGCTATGAGAACCTGAATGGATCCTGCGTCAGGACCCCCTACTCCCCAGGCCCCCGCCTGGCCCTCTGTACGCAGTTTTCGGTTTCGGAGCCGTGCTGGCTGTATTCGGAAACCTCCTGGTGATGATTTCCATCCTTCACTTCAAGCAGCTGCACTCTCCAGCCAACTTTCTCCTCGCCTCTCTGGCCTGCTCTGACTTCCTGGTGGGGGTCACTGTGATGCCCTTCAGTATGGTCAGGTCCGTGGAGAGCTGCTGGTACTTTGGGCGGACTTACTGTACGTTGCACTCTTGTTTCGATGTGTCATTCTGTTATGCCTCCATCTACCACTTGTGTTTTATTTCTCTCGATAGATACATTGCAGTCACGGACCCTCTGGTCTATCCAACCTGGTTGGTTCACTGCCTCTGTCTCTGGCATGTGCATTGCCTTCTCCTGGCTCCTGTCTGTTATTTTTTCTTCTTCCCTTCTTGGCACAGGTGCAAATGAAGCTGGGCTGGAGGAGCTAGTCAGTGCTCTCACCTGTGTGGGAGGCTGTCGGGTTGCAGTGAATCAAAGTTGGGTACTGGTCAATTTTCTATTATTTTTCATTCCCACTTTGGTGATGATAATGGTTTACTCCAAGATTTTCCTCATTGCTAAACAACAGGCTAGAAAGATTGAAAGTCTGAGCAGTAAGACTTCGAGATCGTCAGACAGCTACAGAGACAGAGTGTCCAAGAGGGAGAGAAAAGCAGCAAAGACCCTGGGATTCGCCGTGACAGCGTTTCTGATCTCATGGCTGCCCTACTTCATTGACTTGGTCATCGATGCCTTCCTAGGTTTCATCACACCCACGTGTATGTATGAGATACTGGTTTGGGTTGCTTACTATAACTCAGCAATGAACCCCTTGATTTATGCTTTCTTTTATCCTTGGTTTCGAAAAGCCATCCAACTCATTGTCACTGGCAAAGTCTTGAGAGAGAATTCCTCAACAATAAATTTATTTTCTGGGTGAGTTCAAGTTTTAGAATGGAAGAACTAAAAATAGATTCGCAACAAACACAGCTTTGGAGAGAAAACAATTGATTATAAATGCAAGATCTTCTAACGTAAAATAATTGAATTATGCCTCAACTTTGACCCAAACACTTAATTCAGGTTCAGTCTTCTTTGGTAAATATCACATCAAAACCTGACGGTAATGGGAACAGCTCAGCCACGGAGCCAGAAATGCTTCATTTAACACTGGTCTCAGGCTGCTTAATGCTGTCTGAGCTTAGCTGTATTTCCCTGGTTAACAACCCTCCCTTATCTTATTCTTAAATTTTCTCAAGAGAATATATATAAAAGATCCAGTATTTTTTTTGTTATTCTAAACCTGCCGTTTATTTCTTTATCCTAGTTTAACCCCTGGCGATGTCTTCTCTTTGTTCCTTTGTAATATTTTTCTGTTAAAATGTAAATGCAACTAAGATACTTAGAGAGGTGGTGGCTCCTGGTTCAGGGAGGGCAAAGGACGAAGTCTACGCTGTGAGCTTCAGATTCTCAAGTCCAAAGATGTGATTTCAGAGTCAGAAGAAATCAGTCAAGAGATAGATGTATTACATATAACATCCATTCATTTATTTATAAGGGGAAAGGGAGCTGGCATCATAAATTAGAAACTTCAGTCAGTGAGCTTCTTCCTGTTGAGTAAGGCTGCTCAAAAAAATGACATTACACTTCAGAAATTTTACCTGTTAGCATGTGTGTAAAGCAAGGGTAATATTGTCATCTATTATTATACTTTATCTTAAATTAATATTATTTATTCACTTAACTTCTGCCTTGTTCCAAAAATTATTTACAAGGTCTTAAATGATACACAAGTAGCATAACTTAACAATGTTTTCAAAAGAAGAAAGAAAACTGAAATGAAGGGCATAAAATGATGACAAGACAGAGCCCAGAAAATGCATTTCATTATGACCCACAAACTTGATTTCAGCAAACAAGTGAAACTGAATTAGTTACACCATTCACGGTGGATAAAACCCTGCCGGTTGTTTCAGAGACGAAGGCTTATTCTTGGTACTGACCGGAGTGTGCTGTATGTCCCACGCAGGAGGTGAACAAACTACCTGATTCTGCTCTGTTAGTTTTGTTGCAATCAGACATCAAGATTTTAAAATCACGTTATCTTATCTTTGGGGAAAGAGTGAATACATATCAAAATATTCTTGCTATTTTTCTCTAACTACTAGCTTGATATAAATCAACATTATGTATTAGACAGCTTTTCTCCTACTGTCACACAAACGCTTTGAATTGGTAAACCTGTCCCGAGAGAGTGTATTATTTTGGGTTATACGGTTCTTGTGAGGAACCCTCGTGTCTTTATTTGATGGTTAAAGATGATGCAGATGGTTAAGGTGGACTAGACTGTTTAGGATCAGTTTCCCACACTTCTTCCACTCTAACACTAAATACCATCAATTTATTTTGATCCTAGTGGTTTCAGTAAAGTACTATTTCTAATCCTGTTCCACAAGCTCTAGAGGAATCATGCTGCATCATTTTAAAGATAAAGAAGCTAAGACCAAAGTGTTTAAGAAATCTTGTGAATATCACAAAGCTTCTCGATTCACATAAGTACTTCTAACATCTAGTTCAATACATTGACACCTGTCTTTCCGTTATTTTTAGCAACCTTTCAAATACATCACACAAATCATCTACTTTTGCCACTTCCTTTCCTAGATCAACATACTATTCTATTTTTATAAATGTTTGGAAACTTTTGTTATGAAGACACAGGGCTACTGCCCTCGTTATTCTCTTCTGTGAATACGCTGGTTGTGTGGGGACTAGTCTGTGGCCTTTGCTTCAGTGAACATTTATTGAGTTCTTCTGGTATGCAATACATGAGATTTGGAACAGGATAAAACAATAAAGACCATATACACCTGATAATGTTTTATCTAATTTACACAACACTCATTCTGTGCTAGGATTGCTTTACCTGAACGAGCTCACCTAACCTTCACAAGAACCCTGTGAGTGAGGGTACGTTATTATTACTTCTATTTTATAAATGAGGAACCTGAGGCATAAAGAGGTGAGTCACCCACCCAAGGCGGCACATTTGTTCAACAGCAGAACCAGCATTCACACCCAGAGAGTCAGAGAGGAAGTGAAGTAACCCCTGAATATTCCTCCCTCACAAAGGGGCATGTCGCCCAGCCACTGCGCTCAAGTTGTTAGAGCAACTTGGAGCACAAGATTTTTGTGCAAATTACTTTAAGGGAAAAATTTGATCATCACACCGAAAAACATATGCAAAGATCCTTGGGGAGATGGAGACATTGAAGGGAGAAATTGATGGTTGTGATATAACATCTGATCTATAGTTTTCAATTGATCTATATTTCTTCATTATGAAAATAGTATTTTATTGTAAAAGCTTTTCCCCTGAGGCCGAATGGAGGGTCGTTTAGATAAACTGCATCTTAATTTCTAAGGCAGGCTTGGTCTGCACATCAAGGAAAACCAGGATTGGCTGTTTGGTACGTCTTAACCATTGGGTTCCTTTGTGCCTCTTCTCCACAACAGGGCTGTGACATCACACACTTCATCCCAACCACATGTTGTGGGCTTGCAAATTTCCTATAACTTTTTTCCATGGATTTCAAATACTATTATAATAGCAATATGATTGTGTTTGCAACTTTTGTGCCCCTTTAGTAGCTCCTGTTTTAACAATACCTTGCAAAGTTTCCCTTCATTTTTCCATGAATAAAAGTTTAAAACAGTAGAGGCTGTGAATGCACATCTGTGCAGCACCCACCGTCTCAGGAACCACTTTGTTCATTGTGTTTGTCACACTCCTCTCTGCTTTCTAATGATGTGTCATGCGTATTTGTTCCCCTCCCCAAATGTGTGTTCCTCAGAGGAAGGTCCTGTTCTTGTTCATTTTTGTACCTCCAACACAGTCCTTCCACTGTCCTTGGAACATAGCAGAGAGTCAATAAATATGTGCTGAATAAATAAGTGCATGTTTCCTCTAAATATAGAAATACTTTACAAATTGTATAAGAATGTGCACAGTCATGTAAAAGAAATGATCCTTTATGCATCATTCTTTATGTGTGAAAGTGGGTATCATCATCTCAAAGTTGCAGTCACTACACACATTAATTTGTGGCTCATGAGACTAACCGTTCATGGAAATGAGTGTTAATGGAATGATACATTAGCCACATTCCCTTTGCCTTCTAATCATTAGTGTGTCATGATAGAATTTCAAAATACTAAAACTGAAAGGAATCTTTGAGATGATCTCATCTAAACCATCCCTTCTTAGATCCAGGCCACTGCCTAAGGAACCTGAGCAAGGCCAGATAGCCAGAGTCTTGAGAATTCACAGGAGGGGGCTGGCCACACTTCAGCCACGTCTGGTTGTCCACAGGCCCGGACTGGGCCCTGCTGGGAGAGCCCGGAGGTCCGCTCTCATCTGCTCTCCTTCTGGCAGGACAGTCTCTCCTTTCTGAGAATCGCCTCCACTCTGCTGCCTGAGATCTGGCTCGCCTGCTTCTGGTAACCCACCACCATCTACTCCTTGCTCTATTTTATATTTATACAAATTTGTATATATACATATTTATATTGTGTATGTATATATTATGGTAATTATAACATAGTATAATAAAAACCATTTGTTGCAATATATTAATATAGTAATATAATTAATATAGTATTATATATAATATAGAGAAATATATAATATATGTACATATTATATATATATTTTTCTTAGTTCTAAATAAGTTTTAAAGAACATTTTAGGTTATCAATTACAATTTTAATTTTAACTAGAATTATGGTTCCAAAAATTTCCCGTAACTTCAAAATCATGTCTCGCTGCCTTCTAGGATCTAGTGTGCTGATGAGAAGTTTGTTGCCAGTACAATCTTCATTCCTTTTTCTTAAACTAGTCCTTCCAGGCTCTGTTCCTAGGAGCTTTCAAGAATTTTTTGTACTTGTCTGTATTTAGTGCCTGCATTTTTCCATTTTCCCTCTTTGCACTTGGTAGATACTTTGAATTTGAAGTTTAGACTCTTTAGCCTGGAAGAACCTTTCTCTAGAATCATTTTTGTTATTTTCTTCCCCTCATCCTCTGATCGCTTTTCCTGGATTCAGAATTTCTCCCAGGCTCTATTGGAAAGACCAGTTGTTACCTCCCTGGCAACCTTTTACTGTGGGTATTTTGGGCTGTGTTTTTCTCTACTCTGGTTTTCAATCAGTTTGATCCTATCTGATTTTTGTCTTTCAGAAACTGAACAAATTTTATCTTCCAGATATGTTTTCTGGTGCAATTCACTGGGATTTCAGGAGTAAGGTAAGTAAACTGTGTGCTCAGTTATCTTGACATGGCGGATATTCAGATGGTAGGCACCAATTCAACCATTCCAACCGGGAAAATGTTGAAGTGCTCACATACTGGTTGATAAATACCTATTGCCCTGAGTCCCCATGCGACCCCTTGCCACCTTCCCCTGCGTCCTCCTCCCAAAACTCCAGGGCTCCTCCTGATCCAGCAACTGAAAGATCAACAAAGGGCCAAGGAGGGCCTCTCCAGGGCCTGCTCTGCCTCTCAGAATAGCATCCTTTCTGACTGGCCATCGCTCGTGTCTTGTCATACGGTTTTCAGTGTTTTGAAATATTGACCCTGAATATTGACCCAGAAACCAAGTGGTCACACTTGGAAGAGCACTTCATCAACAATAAATTTATTTTTGAACATGAAAGCTTAAGTAGGGTAAATGTAAGAATATTCAGAATTACTAAATGAGTGTTTAATGACTTATTATTTACTTTCTAAGAAATGAATGAGATCTCTCAAAATGTGTGGTAGGGTGGTGGGAAGTATTCTTCAAATTATTTAGGAAAAGCATGAAGGACTGGGACTCTAGTCATCAGATTTGTCCTTCCCTCTAGTCTGATTAGGAAGCGTGGCTCATAGAATATGTCACTAGA